TAACCCAGAAGACGGATATCTTCATACTCACCGCTGTGAGAACCTCAAGTCTTACATGATTTATATACTTTGAAGATAAAGTTGTTTAAGATAACTGACTTTTGATAATTTAGAAGTTGCAAAGAACGCATATGTGTATTCTGGTACAGCTGAGACCTTTCGAATCTTGTTATATTTTATTTCATTACATTTTTACCTATGACTATAAATGCCTTTGTAGTCGAAGCAGTGTCGTTAAGTAGACATGAGATCACTGTATTGGCAACAACCAAACTTTCCATGGTCTGCATTTAGGAGTCAGTGTCGCCACTGAATGTGTTCGGTATTTTAAGCTTACTTTTGTAGCCATGAAACAAAACTGAAAGTGACGACACACACCTAGAATTTGTGTAAGTAAATTCACGTGTGTTCCAATTGTAATTCGGCAGTAGGCAAGATGTCATTCTGTCTGATCTTGTCGTCGTGGTTACGTAACTGGTATAATCCGATGTTATAATGCTTTAACAGTGTCTACATGTTAAGCGTCTCCATAAACTGCACGTTTTATGTATATCCAGGATATGAAGTCGAGGGGTGTGAAATTCAGGCTCCTGGGAAGTTATTATTTCGGGCCACTTACAAATAAACTGGAAACTTTTTGTTTTATGATAATTTGTTTAATTTGTTTATTTGTTTATTTAAATATTTAATATTTAAATGTTAATTATAGTAATATTTTAATATTTAATAGGAATTTTATTGTGATTAGACTGACAAAATTTAAACAAATATATATTTATCACAAAATTACGCAACTTTATAATCTCATTTTATGATAATTGCAAAACATACTTTACTTATTTTTCTTCGTTATTTCTCATTTCTTCACTTTGGTTTCTTTTCCTGCTTATCCTCAGGTTTTGTTTTGATGTTCCTGGTTTTATTTCGCAGACGTTTCTGTAAAAGTTTCTTCTTATTACTATGTCCTACGCGATCCTTTCCCTCTCAGCATATAGGCAAGTAACTTGGCGGATGAGTGACGTCACAGTACTATTAACTTGATAGAGATTCTACTAATCATTCAAAATGCATTTGACCCCAAGACGTGAACGACTTGATAAAAATATTTTGTACTTTTTGTCAACTAAACGAAATTTTAAAACAGAACGTTCATGTGACTCTCACTATGTACTCGACTGTACAGAAATCCAGAAGCGAAACCGGAGATAAATGTTTTTGGGATGGCGTTGCTAACTAAGACTTCCGTCGCGACAGTTACGAGCCGCTCGGAACGGTCTCTTACACGACTAGTACTTTTCTCATATCTGTACTGTCCCGTCCCGTAAGTTTCTGCTAATATCCTTGGTGATAATGCCAGCGGGGCGGGGGGATTTAAGCAGCTGTACTCCCCCACTCCAGTTCGAGTTTTACGTAAGCGATGATGGGTGTTATTAGGTCACCATGGCTTACATCACTGTGAAGGTATCGCGTTTGAATTGTTTATCGGTACCAAATAAAAGTTCTTCGTACGCGTTGCTGGTATGTTTCTTGAGGGTAATAGCTGTTTGTGGCTGCTAACAGCCGGTCCCGGTGTCTTGGGTAGATCGAATTACTTGGGTCTCAGTTTCGAGACCTCGGGGAATGAATTTTTGTCCGCCTTTCCATGTCCTTTTGACGACCACAGATTGGGCTGTCTTAGTCTTAACCGATTGCTTGATTGGAATTTGGAAGACATCTATAATAGAGGAAGTCTAGGGACAAATCTTTCTGTAGCGCCAACGAATCAGGAGAGGATGATGACGGAAGAGTAAAGGGAAAGTGAGATATGAGGTTATCTAAGCGACGAGTATACACCCTGATAGTAAAGGCTATAAACTGCTCTGAAACGTCCTCAGTACGTACCAGAGCCATCTTCGAAGGGGTAGATAATGGAGAAGAATAATGCGTAAAAGGTACGAAGGATAGAATAAAGGAATAAGGAATAATATGTGGCTTATTTGAATCCTTTTGTCTGTATCGACGAATTTGTAATCTGTCCTATTCTCTGTAATTTGATTCCTACACGAATAGATTCTTATTGACCACAAAATTGTTCCCGAAGATGGCAGCCTTCTGGGTTGTAGCGCCGTGTAGTATGGTGGACGTTTACAAACGTTTCAGACGTGCTGCCTCAATCATCAGGGCGCTCGAACGCAGTAGGTAGCCATCTTCTTACTCAGTGCTATGAGAATCTTATATCCTAGTGAGATATTGTTTGATTCAGAATTTTGCAAAACCTTTATTGAAAATTCTGCTTCACTGTGGACTAGTCTTTTCGCGTGGATGTCATGACGGTTGACATCACGATGATTCGTAGCACCAGTATGCGCAGAGAACGTCAAATCTAGTTACGCCACGTAGTTGACGTAACACAGCGTATATTTCAGATGTTGCCAATGCGTGAAAAGAAACCAGTTTGGAAGCGACGTTTTCAAGGGTGTTGCCTGCGTAACATATAATGTAATGTTTTCAATCAGGTGGCACTCAGATTTGAAAGAAAGCAGTCATCAATCAGTTGCGGTGGATATAAAACGCTTCGCTTTTCTTAGGTTATGTTATTTGAAGTATTTTGGGGCTGGATGGTACAGAATCCCTCCACAAGGGCGTTTATGAAAATGAGGAATTTTTAGACCAAGGCTTTTACGCTAAGAAAGAATTAACGCAGTTTTCGACATTTAAGTTGTGATACCCCCCAAATAGATCAGACATCACGCTGAACACGATTAGTATTCAAGTTCTGTTTCCAGTAAATTTTGCTGAACGAGGAAGTTGAGTTTTTATACCTCCGGGACAGGACATATAATCCCAGGACAGTTTCTGTGCATGATCGAATTCAAGAAGCCATGACTACAAAGCTGTTTTATAACCGTGAACTTTACCTTGGCATTCTGTTTAGGAAGAATTGGAGCGGTTAAAAATAGGCGTTATGTATGCATTGTGTGATAATTAATTTTATACCGTCTTTGCTGTAGCAGTTTTGACGTAATGAATTTTCTGGGAAGTTCTACGAGTCCAGTGAACGTCTTTGTTTTTTCGCATATGTGTGAAATGTACGGTACTAGTTGTAACTTGTTGTGTGGCTGTTCAAATATTCGAGTCGAACACGCGGAAAGAGACGAACATTGCCGAGCTAGGAATGTCTGCTATAATACGCTAAGGCCGTGATTTAATTCAGTGCAGGCAAGTAGTTCCCTCCTTGCTCGTGTCAGGATAGCTTGGTGCGCTCTGATACATAAAAAAGAGAACGTCGAACTGCGAACTACAAAACTCATTTGCAAATAAATTAGTTGCTTGTGTGGAGAATTGAGCGCGAGACAAGTACGGGATGAATACAAGTGTACGATTTAAGTTTAATATCGATGCTGCATATCGATATTGAGAAAGAATTTGGTGATGTCATTCCATTTTAAACAGAATTACATCAGACCTGTGGCATACAGAATTGTTTCGTAGATAAATAATCGCGGATGCATCTTGTTTTCACAGACTGTTATTAGCTCTCTACACGAAACGTACGATACTTAGAAAAATCAGTGATGGTTATAAAGAAGCTTTAAATTAAAACAGTTGAAGGGGATTGCCAGCGTCTTTGAAGTTGTATTCATTGCAGAACTGAAGTTGAAGGAATCGTGCAGTGTTGTTTGGTAGAGACAAGCCCGAGGATTGAATTAAAAATATTCAACAATGCGCCATTTCTACTAGTTAACTGCAATTAATGTAGACGTGTTTATAATTATCTTACATCGAAGTTAGAAGTGCGAACGCCATGCAGGATTTCACACTGACTTTGGTTATTATGGCAACGCTAAGCCTGCTCAAACTCACGTCTGCACAAGGTAAAATTGTTTACTCGTCTTTGTATTTGAAAGTGTTTTCATGTTACAGTTATTATGTAATGTTGAATGTCTGTTGGTGCAGTCGAAGTGCTAACTGAACACGCAGGATTTTTAAGTACGGTTTTAACTTGGGACCAGTGACGGTCAATGTGAAGCATAATCATGATAGATTTTTTTAAGAAGACCGTAGGAAGAACTAGAAAAGGTATTTTACATGAAGATGATACGTATTTTCATATGACGACCGAGTTTTATGTAATTTAAGTATAATTGGTTAACTAACATGAATGCTACTGAAGAAATGGTGACTCGCAGTTCTTATTCGTTAACAGTCGAGAATGATATTGTCTCCACATAGCAACAACTGGTAAACGACATGTCTAAATTTGTAAGCACGGGTTAGTTGTATATTTATGTGTGACCATTGCTTCAGACTAGACTTTTTATCATCTTACAGCGATTTTTACTACAAGACCTTTAACGAAACATAAAGGTTTGACTTGATTTAGTAGGTCCTATTAAATTTCATATTTAAAACTTAAGTCATTTACTCATTTAATAACTGACTATTTTGTGCGTTATGAAGAGATGGCTGTTGAATATCCTGGAGGAATTTTTTTCTTCTAATTATGTTGTACCACATTCAGGCAAACTTTATAGACAGGAGATAATTCCAACTTACACCTGGGACAGATGAATTCCATACACCGTTCCACCGAACATCGCGATCAATTGGTTACCACTCCTTCGTGTTCGGGGTCTCGGGTTCATATCTGAGAGGGTTATTGTGAATTTCGTATGCAAAGGGGCAACACTTCTCAAGTCCCTTGCACTTTCTTAGAAATCCCTTCCAATTAATTATTCACTTATAACTCTATCATTCGACTCTGTATCGTATCTGTATCGATAGGTAAGTAACAAATTCGAAGCTTTTTAAAATCTGTCAACTAATCCCATTATGGTGCCTTGGTCTGTCTTTGAGGCTGCAAATAGGGGGTCCCGTGTTCGTGTTTCGATATGTTACTCGCTGTTCCCATGGGGACACAGTATGATTCTCGACTTTTAACCGAATTAAAACCGCGACTCGCCATTTTGTCAGTAGCATTCGCGTTAATTAATTACACGTATATTTAGCCCTGTGTTAAAACATGAATTAGATCGGAAAATCATTATCATGATGATTGCTGATAACATCATCGTTACTGTCACCATCATAATTATTGTCAAATTTGGGGTGAAGCGGAGGATAGGAGAGGCTTTGTAATTTTGAAAACTTCTAACCTGTATTGTTGTTAAATTAGCATTCGACCAGCTTAATCTCAGCCTATTCAAGCAATTCTATAAAAACAACAATATAAAGTATCGATTTATAACATAGGAAATATCTTTAACAGTTAAGTAATTTTTCTACACCACGTCTGAATTCATCACAAATTCTTGTTTTGTTTCCTTATTAAATATTACTTAAAGGAAAATTAAACGTTGACGCACTTACGTTACAGTCTGTATGCAGTACACACGTGTCCAAGTAAGGAAACTGTTTGCTTCAACTGTTTTGAGTTACAACTGAATACGTCACACGATTTGTCTAACTCCGTTGTGCAGAGGAATTCTTGAAAAAGCTGAGTTCTTGAGATGTTCAAGAGATCGTCTTGCTTTACCATAACTCAAATTTTAATTATCGTGATACCAGTAATTCGATGTTAAACGTTGTTTCCTGTCGAGAGCAATTTGAATCCGGCGTGCACTTTATTATATTTTTGTAAGATGCATTTTTGTGTTATTACTGAACGGTGGCTGCTGTCTGTATACCACTAACTTTCAGGTGTTATTGAAACAAGTCAGATGCGTTACGCAAACCAGAGGATCTGCTGAAGATGACTCGTCTTCTGGAATGTAGCCATGTAGTCCGGTAGACGTTGACTGACATATTCAATCTACGAGAGTAGGAGAGAGTCAGCCATATTCATATTCGTCGACGTGAGAATCTCTCATATCTCGCCCCATCTGCTTGTTTGTGATTGTAAAAGTTAGGGTCTGGTTTTGTGGTCCCATTCTTTATTTTCTACGCAAATTATCTTACTGCAGAATTTCTTGTGGAACCGGCTTGTAGAATTACGAAACTGTTGAGATAAGATGAAACATTGCTAAGTCGGAACTAGTGAATTGTTAAACGCGTATTTGCTCCTACCACGGTGAACTTCGGGGAACATCTTACGCTGTTATTAGTCAGGTTTGATAATTATTTATTCGATTATAGATCAACGACGTTTCAGGGAACATGTTTCCACATCTGACACGGCTGATATATATTATGTTTGTTTGTTAATGCAGAGAATCGGTGAGACACGTTTTTAGTATGGATTTGAATACTCTGAGATTTTGAAAAATTTACGTTCTGAACTATTACATTTGTTGATACAGTGAGATTTTACTAATTTTGTTTGCTGTTCGTAAAAATCATTGGGTGTTGACTGTTTTGAACATTAGATTTACATTTACTTCGAGTTTGGTGATTGACCACTGCACTTTTAATATTTTGGCACTGAATATCCCGGGGGACGAGCCGGTCAGAGTGGCCACTGTATGAGCCGTGATTTCGAATTCCGCTCAGGGAATAGGAGTTTGTCTTCGTAATTCTGTGTTGTGTTGTACACGTGGAAATGCACTTGTAGCTGGAGAAATCAGAAATGGTTAAGAAAGAAAATTGTTAGCACTTATGATTCTTATTCTGGAGGTGCGGCGTTGAAATCTGTACCCTGAGACCGGCTATCATGACTTGGTTTTCCCTGTGTCTAGTATCTGAAGGCAAATTCCTGAATAGTATTTTAAGTTAGGTAATTACCTAATCCTGACCATTCCAATTTATTATTATTCAGTCTTCCTTTTATCCTACGGTTACACTGAGTGTAGTTTTATAAACTACAAGTAAATAAATACGTAAATATATTTCATTCATTTGTCAGTCTTATTGACATTAATCTCCTGGTTCCTTTCTGTTTATATACCTCCCTCCTTTGTCCTGTATCCGTGTTCCATTCATTTCGTTTGTCTTTCCCGCCGTAAGTCGTCTTACATTACTTCCATCGCTTTATCGTCGTATTTCCCAATTACCACAACGAAAGAAAAAAAGTGTATAGGTAAACCTCGATTTGCGTCGCTTCAATTTGCGCCGATTCAGAATAACGCCGATTTGAAACCAGCAAGTCATAAAGTGGGAAAAAATATATTTTACTATTATTTATAACGTTTTGCAATGTTTCTCGTACTGATTCTTATACTAAATCGCAATTCTTACATCGCTGATTTTGAATAAAAATTATAAATACAGTCACCGCTGCACTCATTGCTAAGTAGTTGCGAGAGAATCTCCTAAAAATCCGCCAACATTGCGCAAGTCACGTGAGCATTGGTCACTCTTCACGGTGAGTCATTTGAGTTCAGCCTGATGAGGGAGTAAGGAAAAATGCGCTCAGTTCTCTTCCTGTTGACGCATTGAATGTGCTGAAAACTGTGTTTGTGTTGTTGTTCGACTACTATTCTGCAGTAGAAACTGTTTTATGTTTATAAATTGTAGAAGAGCCACCATGTCTGGAAAGAGAAGTGAATGTGTTGCTAAAAAGTTGCGTAGGTCTATTGCGTTAGAAGATAAGATGGCGGTAATTAGTAGAATAGAAGGTGGTGATACCCGTCGTAATGTGTGCAGAAGTATGAAGTTGCCTCCTTCCACTGTGACTACCATAATGAAAAATTCATATACGAGGTGCGATCAGAAAGTTTCCAGACTGTGTCAATAGAGGGCGAACCGGAAGTAGGACGAGCTTCTGCCGCTAGGGGGTGCGGCCTACATTCATAGTGATTCAGTGTGCCAGCCGGCATCATCGAATTAGCATTTGCTTCTTAGTTACGGTCGTTTTGGTAGTGCATTACACCGACCCTCCTGCGATTTCGGAATGGCGGATTTTCATGAACAAATCAAATTTTGCCAAAGACTCGCCAAAACGGCTACGGAAACCTATGAAATGCTAAAGCAAGCATTTGGGGAGTCCGCAATGGGTCGTGCACAAACTTTTGGGTGGCATTCACGTTTTAAAAATGGCCGAACCTCTGGCGATTATGACGAGCGTTCTGGACGACCATCTTCGAGCACAACGCCCGAAAATGTTACGAAGATCGACGTCGTACCATCAACGACTTGTGCGACATTGCTGGGATAGGCTATGGGACCTGTCAGCTGATTCTAAAGGAAGAACTCCACAGGCGACGCATCCTGTCTGAGGACCAGAAGCAGAATCGACTTCTCGTTTGTCAGGAACTCAAAGATCTTGCAAGAACCGACCCCAACTTCCTTTCCAAGCTCCGTGTGACTTCTTCCTCTTCCCAAAGATGAAAATTCAGCTAAAGGGAAGGAGATTTGAGACGATAGAAGAGATTCAGGCAGAATCGCAGATGGTGCTTGACAGGCTGACAAAGAAAGATTTCCAGGGATGCTTCCAGGCTTGGCAGCGGCGCTGGGATCGTTGTGTTCACTCCCAGGGGAACTACTTCGAGGGTGATGGATGAATGTAATACCTGAGATAAGTGTACGGGTTGTTATACGCGCAGTCTGGAAACCTTTCGATCGCACCTCGTACTACACAGCGCAACAAACCAGAAGACAGAAATCTTCATACTCACCGCTGTGAAAACCTGAGTTATAGCAGAAGTAAACTTTTAGGAAGAATGGAGAAATTACTGTTGCTATGGGTGGACATGAATCGAGAAAACATTCCCTTGACTGAAATTGCTATCACGGATAAGGCGAAGTCAGTTTTTGAGGAACTTAAGTCGTCAATGTTTGGGTGCCGGGAACGCATGTCATTGACTTCCCATTGATTTAAATTATAAAAAGATTTTTAATTTACACCGATTCCATTTACGCCGGTTCGTCCAGGAACACATCCCCGGCGTAAATCGAGGTTTACCTGTAATTAATAAGCGTATCTGCGTGTTACGTTATT